TAGTTCCTTTCTAGCCACAATGACCAAGTGACAGCTAATACAACAACATTCCAAAGATTCCCGCAAAGTCTGTTTCTCTCAATTAATAAATCACCATAAGATCCGCCACCCTCTTTGGTATTACCCATGAAAAACCAAATTCCCGTAGCACTCGGATCCAAATATTCAGGGAAAAGGGACAATGAAGGAAGATATGATCTAGAGACTCGCCAGCTTCCCTGCAAAGAACACACCAGCTAGGAGAAAGACAGAGATATGGTTTCCTCCTTTTCATCAAGTCCTGAGTATTCAGTTTACTAAACACAAGTAGCCAGTTAAACACTTTAACTTTAGTAGGAACCGAGGATTTCCAAATGAAATGAGAAAACTGAAATGGAGGGAATGATTGGTTATTTGTCAAGAACTTGAAAAAAGATTTACAAGAAAACAGGCCCAAACTCTCTAAATCCCACTCCCACCTATCAGTCTAAGCAACCCAATAATTCCATTTTGATGGACGTTTTAATAATGGTAGAAATTGAATCACTTTTTGTTTTGATATTCTATACAAAACTCCCTAAGTCTAAGTGGAATTTATCAATTCCTTTCTGTTTGTATTTGTTGCAAATTCCGATTAGGTAAAATTTCATGTGATTCAGTAAACAGAACATAAATTCCATCATTGCTATATTGATCCATGTGATTTGATGAAGAATGAGCAAATAATGAAATCTTTTTTTTTTTTCTATATACGCGAGATTAAAAAAATGCTTGAGGGTGGAAATGAGGAAATCTTTGCAATACCCAGATTTAATTAGATACAATTTGAGGGGTCCTTGCTCATTCACACGAGATTCCATTGTAGATAGGCCCTCCCTTCACCACCCCCATGGGGATAGTCTATAGGGTTCATATTTACTCCTCTTACTACAAGATGCTTACCTAGCCAACATTTAGATCTGGCTCTACCCAAACTTTTCTAGTTCACCCCAACCATTCCCCACTTGTTTGACTGTTGCGGAGCAGTTTTTGGGTATCAAATGTACCTTAGTCAATCCTATTTTCGATAGGAACGGTTGACAATGTAATCCAAATTTTCCCATTATTTTCGTATCTGTAATAGTGCGAAAAGCAGGCTCAATTTAGTAATAATCCACAATCAACTTGTACCCTATCCCCGGGGGAAGTCAAATCTCCACTGACTTCTTGAAAGAGAGATGTCCTGAACCGCGAGATGAACAATTGGGATTCGGGATCGGCTGCAAGTCCCCTACCACTGTACATGGAATGTGGTGCAGTCATTTGCAGGAGATTATTTTAGCAAGTAAAGTGGAAGGTGGGGAGTGCAGACATTGTAAGATTTTGCGAAGATAATTGGTGTAGAGAATTGCATTTGCATTATGATTTGTAGGTTTATTCATATGGTCTATACACAATAAACCAATCAGCCATTTTGTGTCAAATATGCCCTTAGATCTGGGATTGGGCTGCACTTGGGAGC